CTTGCCTGTAAAAAATATCATTAGGTTGAGTATTTGTACTCTCACTCTTCCCCAGATTCCTTGGTAGTGGCAGCTACTAGGACACTAAGCATCAACACCAAAAGACAAAGAGGCTGGACTTATTTGGATGCAAACTTTATTCTATAGGAAGTCTGCAACTAAGGTTTGCAAACCAATAGGCACTCCTGAGCTGCTATGACTTCACCCTCTGGGAAAACATTATAAAACTTAAAGACAAGTTACCAGAGAACTTAGGCAGGACTTGGCAGTAATGGTGGCTGAGGGAAAGTTAGTTACCAGGACTGCTCTCCAGAACATTTTTGATGGCACAGATGTGGTGGCTCGAACCAGGGCATCAACCATTTCTATGAGATGTTTGTAGTTACAATCATCTGGGCTCCCCCAGAAGTCCAGGACTTGCCTTTTGAAGGTCCCTTTCTGTTTTTTGGATAAGACAGATGATAGGGTCCATAGCCTAAAAGATTCCAGGGAGACATTATAATATCTTGGCATCAAAGAGGAAATAGCTCCATCCTCAGCTGCCATACAGACACCAGGATTTTGCTTGCTGGTTTCAAGATCCATTGAAGAGAAAGGAGTTATGGGAGACGACATCCACCGCCCTTCTCTTCAGCATCAGTGAGCTCCTCCTGTCCAGCCACTACATCCAAAGAAACATTTTGATGTGTTGGTCGAGACATAAAGGATGCTTACTTCCATGTTGCAATATGAGGTTTCTCAGATTTGTGGCAAATGGGTCTCATTATTTAGTTCATGGTGCTCCCATTCAGTCTCTCAACTGTTCCTCAGGTTTTCACGAAGTGCATGGTTGTGGTGGCAGCACATCTACGAAGTCTGTGTGCGGGAGTGCCCTTTATCCTCCTGCTACCAACCCTCACTCTAGTCACAGACACTTCAGCCCTAGGTTGGGCGACTCACATGCGGTCCCTGCAGACTCTAGGTTTCTGGTTGTTTCATGAATGGCTCATAAATGTCAGGGAGTCGAGAGCTTTGTGTCTTGCCTGTTCAGCTTTCCTCCTGTATGTAGTAGGAAAGAACTTGTTAATTCTAAGAGACAACTCTGAGACTGTTTTACATAAACAGAGAGGAGTGTGGCCAATCCAGTTATGCCAGGAGGCAATTTGCCTCTGGGGCTTTTGCATAACCAATTCAATTCATCTCAGGGTGACTTACCTTCTAGGGAAGCAGAACACATTGGTGGGTTGACTGAGCAGGACCTTCTCCAATCACCATGACTGTTTTTATGACCAGACATTGTCAGATCCATCTTCCAGCTCTGGGGGACTCCCCAAGTGGACCTGTTTGCAACAAAGCCCAAAAAGAAAATGCCATCTGTTTTGGTCTCAGGGAATTCTCAGCCCAGGCTCACTAACAGATGCTTTTCTGCTATCTTGGAAGGGATCCCCTTCAGTATGCCTTCCCTCCACTTCTCTTGCTGCCCAGGGTATTGTTCAAAGTCAAACAAGACCATGCTTGTTTTATACTTGTAGCCCCAACAACACTGATACTCAATTCTACTGAGCTTGTCAATTAAGCTTTCACTCTCTCCCCCTCTGGATCCAGATGTGAGTTCTCATGAGCTTGGCTGCTTGCTCCATCCCAACGTGCAAGCCCTCCACCTGACAGTGTAGATGCATTGTAGTTAACACCTTTAGAGATCCTGTTTTAAGGAGGTTCAGAAAGTGCTTCTGTATAGTAGAAAACACTCAACTAGGGACACTTATCTGGCTAAATGGAAAGGCTTCTCCATTTGGTCCCATCAGAAAGGCTTATCCCGAGAGCATGCATCCCTGAACCTCATATTGGACTATCTTCTATACCTAAAACATCAGAGTTTGGTCACAGCCTTCAATTCCTGGGTGGATAGTAGATCTCTTTTCTCCAGCCTCATCATTACCAGATTCCTAAAGGACTTGGTTAGATTGTAACCACACTTGCAAGACCCTATCCATCCTTGGGATCTGAATGTGGTCCTAGCAAAGTTAACTGGACTGCCATTTGAACCCCTTGCAACTTGCTCTCTGCTCCAGCTCTCTGTGAAAGTAGCATTTTTAGTTGCCATTACCTCAGCCACAAGGGTGGGTGAGTTGAGAGCCCTAGTGTCAGAGCCTCCCGAACCCGTTTTCCATAAGAATAAAGTTTATCTCTGCCCTCACTCAAAATTTCTCATGGAGGTAGTATCTAATTTTATGTTAACCAGGCTGACTTTCTTCTCGAAATCACATACACGTAGAGATGAGGTGAGCTGTCATTTGTTGGATCTGAGAAGAGCTTTCTACCTGGATCGTATGAAGTTCTTTAGATCCTCCATGCAGTTGTTGATTGTGGTTGTGGACAGAGCCAAGGGTAAACCAGTTTCCACTCAGAGAATCTCATCCTGGATCTCTTTGTGCATGCGTTTATGCTGTCAATTGGCTAATATAACCCGACCAGCTAGAGTTGGCACATTCTACTAGAGCACAGGCACCTTTTACCAACTTTCTTGGCACCAATACCCATTTGTAAAGCAGTATTCTGGTCATCAGTCCACACTTTCTCTTCTCATTATGCCATGTCCCATCAGTCTGGGGACAATGCCAATTTTGAACAAGTTGTCCTACAATCATTGTTCAGGTATAATCTGAGCCCACTTCCATGTTTGTCTGCTTGTAAGCTACCTACAGTGGGATGGACATATGCAAGCACTTGAAAAAGAAAAAATGGTTACCTACTTTTGTGAAACTGTTGTTCCTTGAGGTATATTGCCAATACCCATTCCACAACCTGCCCTCCTTCCCCTCTCTATCAGAGTCTATCCAGCACTAAACACTAACGCTCAAGCTGCCCCAGTGGGTATTGTTGAGGGGAAAAGTCTTCCAACAACTGTGTACGAGGCGTGCACAGACCTACGGTGGAATGGATATGTGCAACACATCTCGAAGAACAACAGTTACAGAAAGGTAAGTAACTGTTTTTTATGGGGTAAATTGATTTCACCATTGGGAAACTAGGGATTCTTTCCCCGGAGTAATAACTATAAAGCACGCTAATGCTATTCAACATTAGTGCATTAAAGTGTGGCCTTATTAATTCAAAGCATAAAGGCAACAAAATAAGCTGTTCAATTTAAAATATAATACATATATAATGAGGAGAATGTGTGAAAGCTTTATTCAAATGAAAATGCAGAAGTGTTTGAACTAGTGAGGTATGTTTTTGTGCTGAGTTATGAGCATATGTAATAGATTTAATTATTAATTTCTCCATTGTTCTATGCACACAGATAGGGTTCAAGGCACAGTCATTCTCTGGCTTTCATAGATCTAATTTGTATAATTATTGCCAGAATAAAGAATTGCTCCAATTCCTAGCGCTCTTTTTTCCTCTCCTAAATATTATTTCAATGCGGCATTCCAAAAGAGGAACACCTGCCACTTCTTCAAAGTCAGCTGATCACTGGCAATGATGGAGTGAGCTACTGCTGATGACGTTCCTTTTCAAGCCCTTTTGTCTAAAGGAATTATCATGCACCCTTTTCATTTTATTGAACAAATTACATTTGTCAAGGTCTATCTTTGTAAATAAATAACTAGAGACACATGGCTGTGTATTTCTGCTCTTCCAGGTCTCTTGTTCTATTTATGGAAGCCAGATGACATGAAACAAAAGAGAAACTTTCCTCTAAAAGCAATTATCTTTCTGCATTCCCATCAGTATAATTATATTGCAGGGAATTTTAAGAAGCTGTACAAGTAAAATTGAATGCTTAAAATCATGTTTGCTGAATTGTTGTTATGCAAAAGTTGAGCAGGCTGTATTGCATCATATTAACAGAACAGCACCAATGGCAATTCTCTTACAATGCTGTGCTTGAAACTGTGTGTGTGTGTGTGTGTGTGTGTGTGTGTGTGTTTAATGCGAGACCAGAATTTGAAAATGGGACCGTGTTGTAAAAAAGATTGCAGAAAAATATGTATGGGAGCCTGTGAAGGGGGTTCCCCTCACCACAGGTTCGCCTCCTAGTGGCTGCATCTTGGAATTAGCTTTCGCCTCATCTGGTGCATCCTAACATCTGTTGCTTATGCTGTGGTCCCCCTCTCTCTCTCTCTCTGTCATTCAGGGTACTCACTTTCTGTGACTTGGTTCTCGGGTCAGGTTGCTGTATAGTAGCCCTTTTCTGGAGTAACAACACCCCTCCCTGGACAAGCAATCTGTATGCTGTCTGTTCCAACTCCAGGTCCTGTGCTACTTGCCTGTGGCTGGTAGGAGAATTCAGGTCCACCCACTATTTTGGGTTCCAACAACCTAAGTCTTCTCAGTCTCAGTTGCTATTTTCCAGGGCTCCTTCCGACCACACCCCAATCTTCCTGCCTATTTCTGGGTTTACTACTGCAGCTTCCTTTGGTCCCCCATGGCTACTTCATTCCTCTAGGCCTCTTGTAAGACTTCCTAATCCAGGGCAGGACCCCAGGGCTTACTATCCCCCTGGATCGTTTCCTTGTCCGTGGCCAACTCCCTTTCCTTTTAAGGAGTGACTGCAGACCTTCTTCCTGCTCTCACTTGCTGGCTTTATATACCTATCCTAGCTCCTCCCACAGCTGGGTGTCATCTGCCATTAGGCCCTATCAAACCCAGCTTCCATTCCAGGTTCAGCATATAAGGTTAATTGGCCCCTTCTGGCCCATATTAACTCGTTCATGAGTTGTGTGGGTTGAACATCCCACCATAGAACCAATGCTGTCTTCTCCCCTGATTAAGAGTGTAACAAATTAGTCAACAAATATTTTTAAAATAACTAATACCCCATCCTGCAAGTGCCTACGCACGTGTGTATCTTTACTCATGTGAGGAGTCCTGTTTCACTTGAGTCAGACTACTCATGTGGCTGAAGTTATACATATAAAGTAAATGACTGCAGGATTGGGACCTCGGTTGGCCTTTTGCCCCTACAGCATGCAGCAGATGCTTGTAGAGTTGGAGTCTCTTGAAGTGAGTAAAATCACTACTTAGCTCAATAGTTGTTGGATGAAGATAGGGCAAACCCTGTGGAGAGTGAGGCTTTGCCATCGACTTGAGCTATTTTGGGGGTATACAACACCTGTTAGTGTTCATGAATTTTTTTCTTGTGATATAAATCCGTGTGTCCATGAAAGATTCAGTTTTTAAAACAAGTGGTCTTCCAAGCTCCAGGGAGGGCTTCTACTATTTATAAGGAACATAGCACACAAACATGAACCCAGGGGCTAGACTTCATTGTGTAAGGGAGCAGGTAGCCACATCTGTATTTACATTGCCTAACATTTTCCACTCTAAAAGATTCTTGCAATCTGTTTTTGAGAAGCTCTTACATCACCATTGTTTAAAAAAGATATTTGAATTTTGGCAGGGGAAAAGCCTTCAGGCTAGAGAAGAATCCATTCTGTGTCCCATGAAATTCTGCTCACTTTTGCTGAGGTATATTAAACATGGAAAATCACCATTTCCATTCTCTTGCTCATATTCATCAGGAAAACTTCAGCAGCCTGACAAATTAATAACTGAATGTGAATATTCTAATACTGGACCCACACTTCCACTGCAGCAGCAGCACATGCTGTACTGGGAACACTGGAAGCAGACAGCTTCTCTGGGATGGGGGTAGAGAGAGACTGGCCAAACTTCCCAAAAGTTCCTTCTAGAGCAAATGAGGCAGTGATTCTACTGACAATAGCCTCATTCATTACACAATCCTAATTTATTCCCTGAGCACCATCCATCCTTTGCAGTGAATGAGGCAGGGGTCCTGTGGAAAAATAAGTATATAATAATGTAATTAACAAGGGAGCCGAAATAAAGTTTCACAGGCAACCTTAGTACTAGCATTTCTGCTTGACTTTGCAGCCTAATCCAGTTGTTTAGATAGTTTTTGTATGTAATGCTGTAGATGGAATGGATGTATTTTTCCATTAGATTTTTTTCCCCTCTGCCCCCTGTTATTATGTTAGTTTCATTTGATTGTCTCCTTTTCTTCCCTGCTTTGCTTCTCATTAGTTTTGTGTGTTTTTTTTAAACTCTCTCTCCCTGGTGGAACAATAACATACAAGACAAACTTTCAAAACCAAGATATCAGAGCAGTTTCAAAATGAGTTTCTTACCCCATCCCTGCCTACCAGCGTTAGGTCTGCAGCCAGCCAGCCTAGAGTAAGGTGGGGTGAGTTGGACCCTCTCTGATTTAAGGATCAGCCTGTTTTGTGTGTCTGTTTTGGGTTCTTGTGTATTATCATTTTGAATTCTAAGAAATAAAGTAGTGTTACATTGCAACTTTCCAGCAAGAGTAGTTTTTTTAATCTAACTTCTCTGTGTGTACATTGAGAACATAAAATTAATATGACCTCATAACACTGCAGAAGATTGTACAAAAACAAATAATAGAATGTGCCCTACACACAAAAGGGAGGGTGCCTGGTCCCCTATATTGACTACAACAGAATATTTTCTTTTCTGTGAAATCCATTTTGACTGCCATGTGTTTGCATTTATTTTCTTTCCAGTTCCATAGATTACTCATCCATAACTTAGCAGCACGACAGAACATATTGAGAGCATGCTTTCTGCTCCACAAGGAATTTCCTTTCTCCTGTTTCCTAGACTCCATTTTACCATGTTTTCTGATAGTTCCACTGTGAAGAATTCTGTCTGATGGGATGAAGACATACAAACCAACAGTATTCCAGGTCAGCGGAGTTCAGTGTCACTTTGCAGGCCAGGCACACAAGGGCTAAACTGTTCCAATGGACTTGAGCTAATGGCCTGAAATTCCTTCCTAGTGCTCTGGAGAGTAGCGATGGAGATTACCCAGGACTTGCATTCACTCTAGCCTCATACCGCCCCACTCCCTGTGGGTGGGAATCATGGTGTAATCTCTTAAAGTTTTATTTCAATCCAAATATAATCTTTTCTTTTTCTAGACATCCCATTGGGACACAATTTCTTTGCATACTTTGACCATGGACAAGAGTTACAGTAAGTGGCTTCCTCTTGTTTTGTTGTGACATCTTCTGTGGCCAATGCTGAAGGTCTGTTTTCACTTATGGCTCTTCCATGGTAAAGATTAACGTTTCAGTGGATTTAAATTTGAACCTTAATGCAATAGTCTGTCAGTTGGGTTTTTAATAAATGTCCTTTTCCCCCCTGAAATAATCTGTAAGGCTGTTACTAATCAGAATATGAGACATTTCCTCAGTTGGTTTCACTGGGGCTTGTTTTTGTTGCATCTGGCAGTGTGTCCAACAGAACAGCTCAACCAAAATGTGCTCAGTTAAAATCAGTTGTTTCACAAGAAGCCACTATTTCTTGGTTATATTATTATTAAATATCCAGGCATGTGTGTCTAGAAAATATGGCATTCCCCCCCTCCCCAGAAAGATGAAGAATAACTGATCCAAAGCCTCACAAAACCCGAATATGCCTCTATTTAAGAATTGAATATATGGATTTTTATAAGGTTTGGGGGGGAAGAATTTAACAAAACAAAACAAAACAAATCCATGCTGACATCTCCCCTCTTATCTCCAGGGGGATTTTGGTTGCATAATTTCAAATTCCTTAAAATACTGGGTTATGAGAGCTGACAAAATATTAATGGTGTCACAAGGGTGATGCTAGTGTTCCAGTATATCTTTGTCCATGTTCTAATATGCCTCTTAGATAATGGAATTCATTATTGATTTGAGAACGTTTTATTTTATTGGCATATCTTGTTGCTTTCAAAAGTTTGTCATTGGGGACCTTGGGGCTGTGGCTTCTGGCATTGCCTGTTCAAATCGCTTAGATGTGTGAGGCTTTGTTCCACCCTTTTGCTTAATGAATGAACTATTGCTCTATGAACACAAGAAATACCATGTTGGATTGTGTTCTCCTTAGCTGAGCTGGATCACTCTTGTTAGTGCTTGAGTAGGCGATCTCAAAGAAAACCTATTTGCTGTGGTGGTATTGGTGATTCAGTAGATGATACTCTTTCTTCTGACTCAGTTCTGAATCAGTGCACCAGCATGGTTCTCATGCTTGTGATACTTATGCCCCGTTGAGAGTACATTTGGGTGTGGATGTGATGTGTGTTATAGCATGCTGGGGGACCACATTGTGGTTGGCAAGCTCAATTGCCTGTAATGCAGAGAAGGCCACTGATACCACCTTCAAAGATAAACAATTACCTTTTATTATCACACAGGGCCTTAGCGCTACCAGCTTCAAATAACACATAATCACAAGTCTGCAATATCATTTACTTCTGCTAAGAGAAAATAGCACATATTAAATTGCTGCTGAGGTGATAGGAACATTTTGACTAACGTTCAACTGGAGAAACAACATGAGCCAGGCAGGAACTAACTCAGATGATGACTCCACAGATACTAAAAGCTTGCACCATGCCAAATACATCCGATGCGTGGTCCACTGTTGAATCATCTTATGTATTTGTGTGTTGTTACTCCTAAAAGAACAATTGTCCAGGAACTTTTGTATGTGCCCATATTAGACACGCATGAGATATGTTAAAGTAAATATATGCGGACACATAAAAAGTATATGCATATAGGTAGTAGTATAATATATGCATATAATTTTCTGCTAAAGGGAGGCTGAGTGGCTGTTACAGGTAAACAGTTCAAGTTCGAGTTCAGTGTTTGGAAAACAATATCTTTGCTCAGGTATGGTTCTGAGTCTGCTGTTGTGACCTGTTAGCTATGACATACCATAGAACCCTGAGGCAAGAAGGAGTGCATGAACCTGATTGGCTAACCTGAGGCTCAGGCTTTAAAGAGGTCCCCTAATTTTTTTAACTCAATCCTCCGAGAACTACAACAGCAGCTACGTGGGCTAAAAATGTTGCCTTTAAAAAAAACCCAAAAATAACGTTTTGTTTCTGTTGAGTCTGAATTTGTCAAGGGCACCAGATAAATCTCTCAGGCAAGCTTAACTCAGCCCAGAGCGAGGCCTTTGACCACTGCTTGAATCTTGTTATATTATTTGTATCCTGGCCATAAGGCCAACTTTCTGCTTTAGAAATGTACACCAGTAGTGAGTCCTGATTGACCCAAGTGTTTTCAGAGAGCTGAAATACTGACATTGATAGAGCTACGTGTAATCTTCAAAATTCGGTCTGCCTCTTTCCTTCTCTTTTTGCAGAGTCCATGTCACTTTCTACAGATAAATATATTCTCAAATCCAATGCTTTGTTGTTAAATTTTCTAACAAGAAATGCTAGTAATTCAACACGAGCAACCCTACAATAACAGCTCAATCTAACCAATAGCTTGGTTTCAAGCTTCTAAGTGGCAGTTGCACAAAAGTGAAGGAATGTTTTTAAACTAATAAATCCATCTTTAGAGGATCCATTTTCAATAATCTAGAATTTTACCGCAAGGTTAATACCCAGTGGAAATGCCCTGACTTGAATGATCAGATCACTGCTGCTCTACAAGCACTATTATGGCATCACAGGAAGTTTTGAATAAATTGCAATATTTTTATTTTAACATGCAAGACTTTACATTTCCCTATTTATTGATTTAAACTTTCCTGTGCCTCCATTTTACTTTGCTCTTTGAATGTCCTGAGTACAGCACATTTAACTTTTCTTGAAATACGACCCAGAGAGCGCAAGTGCCAGAACATTTGTGTCAATGGCTTCCAAAAACTACAGAATTTCCTGCCCAGCTACATCAGATTAGCCAACAACTTTGTAATTGCTTTAACAAAAAACAAAAAACAAAAAACCTGCTGACTTTCCGCCTCTCCCCTAACCCATATGGTTCAGCTGGCATGGTGGAACTTTACTCTTTTATCAGTATCTTCAGATGTTTCTCTCAATGTGCACTGTGCTGTATTTTTATGGTCCGTGTATTCTATTGTTAGTTTTAAGTTTACAATGAAAGAGAGATTGGATTCAGCTTAGTGATCTGAGAACAGGTCTAGGAGCCAAGAACTCCTGAAGTTCCAGTCCCAGCTTTGCCACTAAGTCAGGAATCCACATGAAATGAAAGCCACATGATGAGCAATTGTAAAATAATTTTTTTGTGTCTCAGAGAAGGGTGCAGATTCTCAGAGGTGGTCTTTCCCTTGCCCACACAGCCTAACTGAAGCTGAGTTTCCAGGTGGAAAGTGTGTGCATCTCCCCTCCCATTTGCAATATTGAGATTCAGGCGATTGGGTAGTCTAACTGGGGATCTTACATTTTCACCTTGAGAAGTATTTGGACTGACATCTCAATAGTAAACTAAAATAAATTAGCTGAGGATGTCTGCATGAAACTTTCCTGCTGAAAAATTCATTCTCTAAAAACATTTATATTGTACTCTTTATTGTCAACTAATCCTGCCCAAACTCATTTAATGGCGGTGTGTGGGTTACTTGCTGTCAGTGAGATTATCAAAGGCATTTTTCAGTTGGTGCACCGGGAAAGCATATGCTTCAATGCCAAGTAAAACAATAATGAGGAAATGTTATGATCAGACTTGACCAAATGACCTTTCCCATTTTAGATTAGTTCTTAATTTCAGCACAAGGGTCATCCTGTGAGAATACTTACAATAAGTCACTGCTCACCACTCACATGAAAAAGAAGTGACTTATTAGAAAACTCACTGTACTCATTGCAGTTAATGAGATGTGGAAAGCTTTGTAATTTGATTTGCTGGACCATATGCTGTAAAGGGATACTGCTGATTTCATTCCTCCACATTTAATTTAAGCAATATGCAATGGCTTCTTCATATGGCTACTTATACAATAAAAATTAACTTGCAGTATAAACCTCCCCCCCCCCACCATTGTGGGGTTTATTACTTGGGGGGTTGAGTTTCAAGTGTTTTTCACGGAAACATCTGTAAGTAATGTGTGGGTCTAATTTTAAATCCTGGCAAATATTTTCCATTTAACATTTGGTTTTACTGACAAGCTTGGAGCGGTGGTTTTCAGAGCTTGTCAGTAACGGATACGTATTCCCAAGAATGAAAAAAAAATTAAATTGAAGATATCTGTAATTCAAAACTTGCTCTTCTGACCCTTTTTTATATTTTAGTGGTTACGAACAGCAATGCAGAAATTAGTCTTCTGTCCCTTTAAACACCAGCTGCAACTGAATTCATTATTTCCCTCAATAGAAGAGTTCTGGCTTTCTCTTTGCCATCAGCCTGTAGGATGGCCATGGCAAACTCGGTATGTAAGATCAAGCTGCAAAAGGGGTTGGCTGAACTGTGCTCTTTTCGGACACTGTCCTATGAAATCAGACAGGCAGAAGAGAAGTGCATGTGTGTGTGTGGTAGGCTGGGGGGGAAGGAGGTGACAGCATTAGGGGTATCATGAAATATTAGAGGATCAAGGAGCCCGTATTTGTACTTTTGTATGGAATGTTTAAATCCAAACATAAATCCTGAGTGTGGATTTAAGTTCCTACCTCACCATGGAGTTTGGCAACATATTGTGTGCGTGTGTCAACAACATGTATTCCTCTGTCTCAGGCCCAAGCTTACTTGCTTGCACCATAGCGACTAACCATCAGGGCTTTATTTCAGGTTATTTAATTTTTGGTCACAGACAAAATGAAACAGCTTGAACAGGCAGCCTGGGCTACATAGCCCATAAAAACTAAAACCAAGCTGACTTGTCAATGTGCACTGCATTGCCCGTTAAAGCTTACACAGTGTACTATTTATGGTGCTTCATATTAGATTTGGAGACCGAACCTATGTGTAGGGGGTGGTAGAAATATCCAGTAAAGTAATTAAAAGCCAGTTTGGAAACTTACTATTCAGTTGTCTCCTCCCCCCCCCCCCCCACCCACACACACACACACACAAAAAAGTCTTGAGAGAGTTAGGCTAGGACTAGGTAAAACTTACTGGTTTCACCTTAAAGAAATGACATGGCAATAATTATAAATAATACTAACTTTTGCTCAAGCTCCTAACGTGAGGGGAGTGTGTGGTTTTGAAATTAATAGATTGGTTACATTGTAATTT